TTTTTATGGTTCAAAGACACATTGACTTTTGATGCATACTGACTAGTCAGAACCACATTAAGTCTGAACAGAAAATTATAAGGGACTCTTAATCTTTTCTCCAGTTTCCACACAATGTCTCTGGTGAGGTGAATCCAAGTATAAGCCTCACTGATTTCCTGTAATGTTAATGATGACTGTAACACACACCATTGTATCTTTTGATGTTAAATTCAAGATTGTATTTAAAGAGTAATTAAACATGAGGCTGAAAATCAGTGTCAGGTTAAATGTTTGAAGTCTTTTCACCTTTGTGATGCTAAGTTAGTTTTGATATGATGTCATGTCTCCTGGAATACACCTGGACATCACGTCACTTGATGCCAACAAAGGGGCGTTAAAATTAAAAATGAATCTTTAATAGTTAATTACAATTGGTGTGTTCACAGACTAACTAAAGGAAAGTGTGCTAACTTGGAATCCACAGAAATTAAAGAATCGAAACTGTTGTAACTTTACTGAAGGATCCCAGAACTCACAGAAAGAAGCTGAATAAGAAAATACATATCAGGATGTCTAATGTTAATTTTTCATGAAACATGAACAGCTGAACAACAATCGTAAAGGTATTAAATAAAAAGGTGCTCTATCTATTAAGGATCAACATTTATAATTTTTTAAAAACTATATTGTGACCCATTTACAAAAATACAGTATATGTCCTCAGTATAACCAATGGGAGCCATGGAGGCTCAAAATACAGTATAGAATAATTCTACAGCTGTCAGCCAATCACAGTTTAGGGTTGTGAGTAAAAATATCATTTAATCTAAATAACATATATTTTATTTTTATAGAGAATGTGTTATTCTGAGGAGCATTATATTTGAAGCCAGCATATTTAACATTTCAACCACCATCAAGCTGTTTTATTCAAACCAAGTTCTCACCTCGATGATGTCCATACTATATATCACAAACATGAAGACAAATACAGCCAGGAAAAGGAAGATGATGCCATACTTTCGAAGGTAACGGCTGACCTCCATTGTTGACCTCCAAGAGGTGACCGTTATCGTCAGTTTTTGATTTTCGTCTCTGGCTGTAGAATAGCACTGTGACCAAAAGAAAAAATAAAAAACAAACATAAAAAGAGGTAACTGACAGAATTTATGGTGAGGAATATTATTTGCCAACACTTGAACTGAATAGTGAAATTCTTTTTGCATTAATAGTGTGACATGTCTGGCTTCAGTCATTAGGGCTAAACTAAAACCAGTCACCAGGAAGCTCTTCACATTGATCAGCTATCAACTATAAGGCCACATTCAGCCAAAGACAGCAGCGTCTCTCACCTTGAGTCTAGTTATTCAAAAGTAATCTGACTAGATTTTGGTTATTCGATTGGATCAAATCTGGAAAATGGGCTGTTTATACTTTAAAAATGGATACTGAAATATGAGTAGATTATGTAATCCAGTTTTGGTTGTGATCTGGATAAAACCTTCAGTTTGTGTTGTTCAGAACCTTTAGGGAGGTATAAGTTTGATCTAAAAAGTCAGGATTATCCTGATCCCAGCAAAGAGGTGGATTCAGGGTGGATTTCAGGAGCAAAATGTAATTAAACTTAAAAACTGGTCAAATAATACAACAGTTTACAATTTGTATCATTTATTTATATTTTGCATTTTGTTTGTTTAATCTTTAAAGCAATAAAGTAAGTAAAATAGACATAAGCCTTTCAGTATAGTAAACCAAAGCCAGACTTGAGATCCTTCTCCTAAAAGCTAAACTTCAAATGATGTTTGTCCACCATCACAAATCAGGCGTGCTGAGCCAAGGCATGCATGGTCGAGCAGTGCTGAGCTACTCCTTTCATGTTTACTCTCAAGATGGTGTCGACAACTATGGCTGCATGGTTAAGCATGCTCTTCCATGTTTGTTTTCCTTGTTTTCTCAGTCTTTTGCAACCCATCCTGGATTACTTTCACCAGAGAGGAATTGTTAAACATCAGACAACTCACACCAAACTAGCTTTCTCTGATTTTTGTGAATGAAAAATGCTGTGTGGACATTCTGATCGGGGGCACAGCTGCACTCTACAAGACCTGGACAGAACGCTGGAGAGGAAGGAGAGCAGGAGCCCAGGTTAAGCTATGCCAGAGAGGGACCCGGACTCCACTCCCGTCTATCCACCTAGCAAATGTCCACTCTCTAGCAGCCATGATGGGTGAACTTCCTTCTTGTCAACAAGACTAGCTCTGTTGCTTTATGCTTCATGGTGACTTGGCCCAGGAACTCCATCAAGGACAGCGCAATCCAAGTACTGGGCTTCCAGGTGTACAGAGCTGATCACGTAATGGAGCTGTCCAGGAAAACGTGAGGAGGTGGAATCTGTCTCTACATTAATGAAGGTTGGTGCACAAATGGTGCAAGAGAGAACATGTAACACAGACTTAGAGACTCTTTGCATTAACTGCAAACCTTTTTATTCACCCCGTGAATTTTCAGGTTTCATTCTAATCGAAGTGTACATAAGACCGCAGGCCCATGCTAACGCACTACGGCTCCTGGCTGAACGGATAACTAGCCTGGAGCTAGAACATCCCGACTCTCCACTCATTGTTCTAGGGGATTTTAACAGAGCAAATCTCACCCAAGAACTGCCTAAATACAGACAGCACATCACCTGCCCCACCAGGGACAAAATCACACTGGACCACTGCTACACAATAAAAGACGCCTATCACTCTGTCCCCCGTGCAGGCCTTGGACTCTGATCACTGTATGGTCCATCTTAATCCAACCTACAGGCAGAAACTTTAAGTTGGAAAGCCTGTGGTCAAGACAGGGAAGAGATGGAGTAAGGAGGCTAAGTCAGAGCTACAGGCCTGCTTTGACTGCACAGACTGGAGTGTATTTGAGGCTGAGTCTACAGACCTGGATGAACTCACTGACACTGTGACATCATACATCAGCTTTGGTAAGGATGTGTGTGTGCCCACCAAGACCTTCTGCACATACAATAACAACAAGCCCTGGTACAGAGTAAGACTCAAGCAGCTTCATCATGCCAAAGAGAAGGCCTACAGATGTGGGGACAGGATTCTGTACAGTCAGGCCAGGAACACACTGGCAAGGGAGGTCAATTACCACCCTTTCCCCCAGCCACCCACCTCTAAAGATCTGCGAAAAGGATGTGTGTGGCCTTTTTAAAAAACTGAAGATCACCTTTCCCTCCAGCCCCCCACCTCTAACAATCTGTGAAAAGGGTCTGCGTGACCTCCTTACAAGACAAAAGATCAGAAAGGCTCCAGGCCGAGATGGTGTGACCCCCCTCCTGCTTGAAAGTGTGTGCCGATCAGCTGGCCCCCATTTTCACACTTATCTTCAACAGGTCACTGGAGCTGTGTGAAGTCCCCTTCTGCTTCAAACGCTCCACCATCAGCCCACTCCCCAACCCTGGACTGAACGACTACATAATTTTATGAAGTCCTTTGAAAGACTGGTGGTGGTCCACCTGAAAGACACTGGCTATCCAGACTTGGTAATCTTGAAAAGTCTAAATCGGGGTCTGTACCACAAAGCAAGATTAGTGGCTTATCCAGCTAACTTTGGGCTCAGCTCAGGTTTTTGGTATCATGTATCTGGCTCACTTTTAATCGGCCTAGATCACCACAGTAACTTATGCTGCACAGCTAACCTGCTCTGGAGCAGGTTAACATCAGAGGATCAGATCAAAATCTGTCAACATCCTGAGCAACAACCAAACAGATCACTGAAAAAAACTGTGATTATTCCTACTGGATCCCAACAGGGTCAGGGTCTACATTAATGTGACATGTATTCAATAGATATTTCTGTAGAGAAGTCATATTGTTAGATATTAGTAAATCAGTTAGATAATTATTAAGACAGTGTGTTGAATCAGATGTGTTAGTAATGCAATTTAGTAAGATTTAAAGTCTGCTCTTGTCTGTTCTGTTTCAAGGTTAGCAGACAGAATGTTGATTCTGAAAAGTAAACCCTGACACTAATTATTTTCCTGTATTAATCTTGTGTTAGAATATTATGCCTGAATAAATGAATGAATGCCTTAACTACACACCATGTGACAACATACACACACATTGAGATTCTTCATTTTGTTATGACTAGGTAAAAATGCAGCTGCTCAAAGCATGTGGAGCACTAGGTAAGAGATGGAGTCTTCGGACTGACTTCATCTGGGTAAGGGGTTAGCCCAAAACTTATAAATGTATTAGGCTCTGTGTAGCCAGGGAATCCACTTTCCAGCGGCCTGTGTGTGTGTCTCTGGAAGGGGGAGCAACCCAGGTTGTGTTTGTAATTTTACTTGTGGTTAAAATAAATCAGCACTAAATAAAGAAAGAGGGACTCCTTTGTTATTCAGAGATGTCCATTTAAAGAACTGAGGTATTACAATATCATTGTGCTGTTGCACGCTTTCCAGATGTCTAACAAGCTGAGGGAGTCTGCAGCCTTCATGATGATCAACACAGTATTTTAAATGCACAGAGATTGATTACTGACTGAATTCCTAAGTGTCTATGTTTTCACAGGCTTCCATCACTGCAGCTCAGAATAACATCAGGAAACTCTTTTATTAGAAGAATAATCATACTCTGTTAAATATTTCCCATAATTATAAATGAACATCTGACTTGAGGTCTAACTCCTCCCCAGTGTCTGCTCCTCTCCACTACGGCAGGGGAAGAGCCTGATCTCCGGTGCGAAATTTACAAGTTACACAGCAATAATTCAATTTTAAGGTTAACATTAGCTCTACCTTTACCAGCTGCAGAATTAACTATGATGCACACAATAATACATCAGTCCACTAATATGATATACATTAATGGGAACTGATCCAAACTGTCAAAAATAGTTAGCCGTGGTAATTCAGCCTATAGATAGCCTAGCCTAGCTTAAGTCGAACCACTTTGATTTTAGGCTAACTGAGCATTTGGGTGTAGGAATTAATATTGGTGGAAACGTAAGGAACGTTGTTACATAGGTTACTTGCCTCTTTAATCAATTAAAATTTCCAAAGACAAAGACAGTGTAGAATGCCAACACTGTGACCACATACTAGGTCAGGTTTCATCCCTTAAAAGGAAGCAAATAATACACTGTTTACAAAACATTTTTTGTCACTATCTCTTGTTTTCCTTGTTTACAGATCTCCTTAGGAATATGTATCCTAAATAACAGTCTGAAATCTAGCAGTTAGTTGGAAACAAAGGAAGACGTAAGTGTCTATGTAGAAATTAAGAAAGGGTAGGTATTCAGGGCCCTGTCCACAACCACTGGAGCAGTGAGGATGATTGGAGGACGGACAGACTGAAGGACCAATATCGGGAGAGTTAAGTTTAAACCACGAATTCTCCCCAACAGTTTTTGACCAATCAGATAGTAACATCTTTTCATACAAATATTGTATATCAGCAAGTTGAGGCCAGTCTTTTCTGTTTTATCCTAAACAGGGAAGATCCATGTGCACATGCTTATTTTGATACGTTAATGCATAATAAATTTTACATTGTGAAATATATATCTTTTTATTCATCTTCTCTTTTCAAAAGAAAAAGAACTTTCCTCACAGTTACCGGTACAGAACTGAGGCAGCCATCTGCGGCGCCAACTCACACTAATGGCTAACCTTTGGGGGCAACTTGGGGGTTCAGTGTCTTGCCCAAAGACACTTCGACATGTGGACTGCAGGCACCCTGATACGAAGCTCCAACCCTCCAGTTGGGAGACAACCGCTCTACCCATTGAACCACAGTCACCCCTCAACTTCAGTTTCTAAAACATCTTATTCTATTTTAGTTATGTGACTATTGTTCTAAAAATTATTAAATATAATTTATGCTACTAAATATGTTTTAAACTTTCAGAACAGAGCCATGCGAGAAACTGAAGCCTGAAGGACGTTTTCTGTCTTTCATGTGAAACTCTGTGTGCTGTGATATACTCAACTACAGAATGTTCCAGACGCAGAGAGACACAACTGTCAACCACAGGCTAA